TTTTTTTTTTTGAAAATTTGTCTTGTGGATTCTCTTTTGTTCGCATATAAAAAATAATTATAATAATAATAATAATCAAATATTAAATACACACGATCATCCTTGCTCTTTCTTTCGAAAGTTTATAGAAAAAAAGAGAAAGAATAATAAATTGGAAGAAAGTTTTTCTTTTTCGAAAATTTGTCTTGTGGATTCTCGAGTTATTTGTTCGCATATAAAAAATAATTATAATAATAATAATAATCAAATATTAAATGCACACGATCCTTCCTCTTTCTTTCGAAAGTTTTTATAGAAAGTAGTAAATTAATTTCTTCAATAATCGTCCTCCTCTCCCATAAAATAATCACGAATGAAGTAGAATGATTCTTTCATGTTAGGCCAAGCCATCGTGACGAACAATAAAAGTGAATTGGCGATTACAAATAGTCTCATCATTTCTGCACCGTCATTAGATCTAAGCCAATCACCGAAACCCTGATTAGAATATTCATCTTCGTTTTGTTCCAATCGTTCTATTGTATTTTTCTCGTTATCTTTTTCATCGTCATTTTTTTGTTTACCCCTTTCCTCGTTCGAACGATTTTTCGTATTTTTATTATCCGTATTGTTAATACGTTTCTTCATATTTGTTTTAATGATATTAATTGTTCGGATTGATTGATTACATCTGGAAAAAAAAAAGAAAAATATTTAATAAATGTTTTTTCAATCGATCGCGATCATTTTTTCGAATTTATTTTTTTCTTATTTGATTATTGGTAATTTTTCAGCTGAAATATTCGGAGAATTAATCAAAATGGGGTTCAATGATCGTTGATTGAATAGTATTCATCTTGAAATGAAACTCGTTTTAACGTATTCAGCTACGATCGTGTTAGAAAACACCCACCACCATAGAATCATGTCAGAAGCATTGCATTTAAACGTACCCAATGTGATTCTCGTACTAATTAGGAAATTCTTACGTTAATCGATCCGGGATTCTAATGATTATGTATTCCTTCGTGTTAGCTTTCTCTTTTTCTTTCTTTCACATACATACACAGCACACTTTCGTATGCTTATATGTAAAAAAAAAAAAAAAAA